AATCAACTTGGTGGGGTGGGTGAGCTGGTGCCAGATGAATAAGAGGTTAATCCACATGGTAGACAGACAGAAGATGTAAGTGACATTCACATCACATGCCCAACCCATGTGAACTAAACCTTTTGTCTCCATCTTAAAAACCCTTCCTTTTTCCCCCCTCACTTTCTCTAATTCCAAATGTTTTACAAATTCCTCCGTAGTTAGGTCGTCTCTAAGTACACTTCAGCCCTAGAGAAGACCTACCTATATACGTGACATTGTATGTCGTCTCTCGAAGTTATGACATATATCTATGTTAAATAATAAAATCAGTTTGGTGGTGTGTGGTTTCATATTAAGTGGACTTGATCGTTTCCAATAACGGAGAAATTTCCAAAGCATTATTTTTAAAATAAGTTTAAATGTTAGTAATATTAAAAAAAAAATCGCGTATTTAACCATATCTTGTTTTAGTATTATAATTCTACTCCATCACACATGAAGATTCGAATCTATAACCTTAAAAGTACGGATTTGAATTTTCTACCTTAATGAAAGATTTGGGTATCTCAACTGTTAAGGTCAGTGTTAAATGTCTCTTGTTTTTTTAGTTCAACAGGTAAGGGAGGAGATTTGAACTTATTATGCTCGAGTCATGCTCGAGTCATGCTCTGGATGACGGTTAAAGCTACCACTAAAAACAAAGTGAAAGTCATCTCTTAGAATTATTATTATTTTGTTTAAAAATTTCAACTTTACTTGTATTTGAGTGAAAGTGAATAGATTATAGGGATTCAAATTATGATGCAAGGAAGGGATATCAGCCTCAGATTCAGCATTTATGCCCAACTTTTATTATGAGTTTTTTTTTTTAAAGGCTTCTAAAGATCAACAACTTGACAAGTTGAAGCTTTTGAATATATAAATTTATCAACAAAAACTTAAAAAAAATTGGCTCTCTCTCTCTCTCCCTCCCTCTCCCTCTCCACTGGTTTTGTGGACCATGGTGTGTCACATTTATAGTGGGGTAAAAAAATTAGGAGAGTTACCACCTATTATAAGTTCAAACCCTTGATGCTTCATGTGACAAAGACCAATTGGATGATTTTAATTTTTAGGGTTTAATTAAAGGTGTCCTCAACCTCAACATAGAAATTTTGATTATATTCTCTCTCCTTCTTTGGGCAAAATTACTTTTGATGTGAAAACCCCTAATGCAATCATAAAAATTAAACAATCTAGGTAAACACAATGATTTGGGTTAAAATTGACTTTTGAGACAGGAGAAGGATGTGTGTTTGAGAGTAATGGTAGAATGAGGGTTTGAGAATTAGGACATGTTTTGGGAGTGATTTTGGCATGGGCAAAGTCACTTTTACTGATGCAAAAATTACTTCCATTTTAAAATAAAATATTTGACAAAGATTCATTAGTGATTTTGGAAAAATCTAAAATCACTTTAATGATTCTCGATCAATAACTTGGAAGGTGATATTCGAACTCACTACCTATTGATTGAACATAGGTGCCTTCAGGTTTTCTTATTTCATTTTATTTTCACTTTAAAATTTGAGAAATTTTATTTTTTTTTCATTTCTAAAATTTTTGTGACTATCTAACTTTATTTATATTTAATTTTGTTTATTCTCTAAAATTTTTGTAATATCTCTCTAAACAACTCGTCTCTTTTCTAAGTCTATTTTTCTTGTAATATTTCTCTCATCCTCTAAAATTTCTCACTCTAATATTTTTGTTGCTCCCTAATTTTTGTCTCTCTGAAACTTTTGTCAAGTTCTATTTAAACTTCAAATATTAATCATTCAAAATCGCTTCTAGTTAAATAAAAATCACTTTCACAAAATCATATATCTTTTGCTAAAATAACTCATTCTAAAATCATTCTCTAGTAGGCCCTTAATTAAGTATGTATTTGACATGTCTTTTAATATTTTTTTTTAATACAACGTACAAGGGTGGGATCTTACAGCCTTTTGGTAGAAAATAGATATCTTAGCTAGTTAATCTATGCTCGGGTTGACATGCCTTTTTAATATGTTTGTGAAAGGTTAATGACAAATTTGGGTGTGATTTTATGGTATCTTATTTTCAAACATTTTCTAATATTCTACAACAATATACACAAGTGATTTTATAAAACGATGTCACTCTCAAACAAGGGCCTAAAATTATTTTATGGTAATGTTTTGTTAAAAGTTATATAGTGCTTTCTATGAAAAATTTCACTATTTAGGATAATTTAACATCATGGGGTGGCGCTCATTGGGTCCAAAGGGACTATGACAAATTGAGAAATAATTGATTCAACTCCCAGGTTGGTCACCTATCTTAAGAATTAATTTCTATGTGTTTTGCGACACCAAATATTATAGGATCAGGCAGCTGCCTTGTGAGATTAGTCGAGAGACATGTAAGTTGATAAGGACAGTCATGAATATAATAATGATAATAATAATAACTAATCAAAAGTAATTTTATAGAGTGCTTTTGAAATAAATTTTATACTAAAAAAAACACTTTGTTTGAAAAAGGCATCGCAATCTTGGTCTAAGAATTTTCTCAAAAAGCACTTTAAAATATTTTTGTAAATTTAAGATTATTTTTGAAAAAGCAAAAAATGGTTTTAACTAATTAAACATTCAAATTCATCTCAAAATCAATGGACAACGAGATGAGTAGTCCATGTATATTATAAACCATTATAAAGTCACT